AGCTTGCCAAACTTCTGTAGAACTGCAGTAAACATTCATGTCATTGCAAATTAAATTTGCAAATTGGTAGAAGGTAATTGCTTCATTACAACAAGTTTGTTCATTTTTAACTTCATTTTTCTATCAAAATGTTCATATTGTTCTTATAGTGCAGGCCTCCTAAAAAGTGGCAATTGCCACCCAATGCCACTTTTTGCTTAAAAGTGGCACAATTTCTGTTTTATAAGTGGCATCTATTTAAATTTGACTTAAAAGTTCGTGTTGCTTGCTCTGGAATATGCCTTCAATAGTCAAATTTGTTAAAGAAGTCCGATTCGAGTCGACCTCCCACTTCAGTACCGAAAAATCGGATTCAACCGATGTCGTGTTGGCGAAGGCGGTCGCCAAGCCGCTGCAGAAGCACCGAAGTGTTTTGAATCGGTCCTTCAACGAATCCCAGGCTTCGTTAAACATCGTCTTCAGGTCATGTCGATCAATTGTACGCCGGACAGTTTCCTCGTTCTCATACGCCTTGATCAAATCCCGGTGATCCGCTTCAACTTCCTCAATTTGGGCAGTGGTCCAGAACTTTGCGAGACGAATCCGGAAAAGATCAAGGACACCCCGATTAAAATTGCGAGGGCGGAGACGGATCAGCTGGGCAGGCATCACGAGTGGTGCGTCTTCATTGGACGCGTTGTTGTTGGAATCACGCTCGGCTCGAACTTTTTTCAAGCCAATTATCAGTTCGATGGCGAATTTGGCAATGCCACCCAAAGTGGCAGCCTTAACATCGTCAGTGAATGAAGAGAACATGTCCTGCGCCCACGAGCCCTGATCTTCGACGTGCCCAACGATCGTTTCCATGCTTATCCACCATGCATCCAGCTTGTAAAAGTCTGTCTGGTTGATCTCGAGGAAAGACTTGTCAATGTCTTCGTGACGAATGCACATATTGTTACAGAGACGGAGGATCAGGTTATCGATTTCGCCCTGCTGCTGTGAAAGTACAAGGTCCCGAGACTGCAGTATCGCAAACGTAACTGCTACGGTGTCGAACATAGAAGTCACAGCAATGGCCATGATCCACCAAGGTTTTGATGGCGATTGAATAAGGTTCATGGATTCGATATGGTTAAAGAGTTTGACTCGATGCTGGAGGATCCACTTGATTAGTTTACCAAAGGCCACCCATCGCGTCGTGTCTTTTGGACATTTGGTGCCGCCCATAGCTGTGGCGAGATTCTGCTGGGCCCGTAAATGGACCGAGAATGCATGGGCAATTTTGTAGAAATCGCCACCGTCCATTCTCTTTGTGCAGCCTTTGATAACAAGATCAATCTGATGAGGTGGACACCAAATTCGAAGGATATGATTCTCCGCTTCCTTTTCCAACAACGTGACAAGACCACCGTGCCGGCCTGTCATTGTGTTTTCGCCATCACTGCTGGCCGAAAGCAGCTTCTCTCGCCACTGCGAATACATAACGTCCAATACCTTGACATTGAGATTGAAAATGTTCAAAGCAGTGTGTCGATCGTAAAACCGAACCAGAACCAGATGAAAGTTGTAGAGGACACCTTCAACACTCAAACGAATCAGAATGTCGAGATAGGAAATTCCAAAGTGAGAGGAACCATCGCACGCAATCAAAAATGCCCAAACATCACTCCGGGAGAGAATTTTGCTGAGAAATTGGAGATCTACAGCAACGAGAACTCGTACGAACTGCGACACCATATGGTCGCTGATTCCGGAGAGCTTCGGATTCTTGGTGCGATGTCGATGTTGTTCGATAGCGGCTGCTGTTTGGCAAAAAGAAAGCCCAGAAGATGTGTGGTCAATCGCCAACCAAAACCGTAGCTGGTTTTTGATAACAACCGATGTTGATTCACTACCCTCATCACGCTTGAACAGCTTCATTGCATTGGCTTTCGTAATTGGTTCCTGATCTCCATCAGCTGCATCATCATCAGGGTGAAAAAAAAGGTCTTCAATAAGATTGACAATGGGTTCAGCAATAGTAAAATGCAAAACATCGCTGGCCGAATGACAAAAGGACGACATTGTGGTGTTCTTGGACTTGTCGAAGTACACTCTCTGCTCGTCGGGCGGAAGCCGGCAATACTCAGCCCATTCCGATGAGTGCTGGTTCTCGAGATGTTTGCGATAGAGCTCGGGACGATATGGTGGACTGAAATAGCAAATCGCGTTGCTGCGTGCTCTCTTTCTGCCGACATCGTCTCCATCGCGACCAAAATGCACGCAGAACCTGCATTGAACACATATCACCAGCTTCTTAATGTCGCGTCATGCGATCTCCAGTCCAAACTGGATGCAGTGCTTCTCTTGAAACGGTGTTGTTCGCTTCCTGGACACCATTGCTGGATTGGGATGGACTAAGAAACAATACAAACTGCGCGCTCCAACGGAATGCGAGTACTAAAAAAATTCCTTAAAAGTGGCAAATTTTGAAATTTATTTGTGGCATATGTGGCAACTATAAATAGAATGCCACTTTTTAGGAGGCCTGTTATAGTGGCTAGCGAAAGCCAATCTCTAAATTACATCCGGTATAAGTTGCTCGACCAAGAGCAATGCAGTGTCACTCACTCGTACATAAAACGTCTTAATATTTAGCAACTTCCGCAATTTTTTTTTGCATTGCAAACAAATATCGCAACAATTTGCGGCCTCTTGTTAGCTCCGTTTTGCTCCTGCTTGTTCCTACTCTGGCCTTGCTGCTCACACTCTCTATGTTACGTTACCAACGTCAACCAATATTAGAACATGGAAGAGGCATGCCTTCAAAGTAATTCCATGGAATAAAATGATACTCCTTGTATCCTAGTAAGCTATTTCTGTTGAGTAGAGGAAATTATGTTGAATTTAATTTGTAGTATAGAACTATTGATAGTTGCGTTTTTTACTTCTCATGTGTTGCTATTGCTTGGAAAACTCAAAACATAGATGATTTAGCATTATTTTTTGCATGGGTCATGGTTGTTCATTAAGTTTATTTATATGTTTATTTTATTAATCGTTCATTGATTTGATTTCATAATTATCTTTAAAGCTAGAAATTAATAATTGTATCTATTACAATTGATAAAAATAAAACTATACTTTAAAAAATAAAAAAAATATTTATCCATTATGAATAAATATAATTTTTAAAATGATGAATATTTTATATTTGATATATTTAGTTATAATAATTATTTATTTTATATCAAAATTATATAAATATGAAATATATTATAAAATCTTGATGATAAAATTCAACCATTTCTTTCAAAATTTGAAATTTTTTATAAGTTAGATTCAAATCAAGATATATATTTAAAGTTTTGTTAAATTTAACCAGACAATAATATATTTATAAATGAATATATTTCAGGTTAATTTGACTTGTAAATAATACTTTGTAAAATTATATCTAACCAAAGTTATGTTTATCTTATCATGAAACTTTTAAAATTTTTGAAATATCTAGAATTGAATTATATATCCATAAATCTAGTAAAACTTGAGTAGGTTTGTCATAATCAGCTTAAATTACTTATAATTTAGTAATCTAATTATAGTGTAGATTGCAAAAAAATAAATAATTCGAAAGTTTTGTGATTTAATATAAATTTCACTAAACATGGATTAAAAAGAAGTCATGTACTAATTGTCGTTCACTTGTAATATCGTTTGTATATTATGAATTAGCAAAAAAAATTTAAAAAAATTTGTAATATCACTGAATTTTTTTGATTCAAAATTAACATATTCAAAATCTTTATTTGTTGTTTCGATACAGATATAAACTTTTAGAATTACATGTTATCATCATTTTTTTTGAATTAGTTTTAGTTTTAACAGATTTTTAAAATCTTTCACACATTTAGCAAAAAATTTATGCACAAATGTATGCTTAACTTATATTCATATTATGAAATTATATAAAATCAAACAATTATTTAATATTTAAATATAATAGCATAGTAAAAATCTAGTTCTTAATTTTTACAAGCACAAACAAAATGTTCTTGTTTACATAATAAAAATTAGAACAAATTTTGTGTGGATAAATTTAGAAATTTACTTTTACATGGTCATCCTGAAATATGAAAATTTGAATTTCATAAAACGATACAAATATAAGTAAACTTTTTTCCCATTTATGTATCATAGATTGAAAATTGGCTGAAAAAATAAAAATAAACATAAAAAATCAATTCAGGAATTTTTTATTCATATTATGTTTGCTGGTTTTAGACTATTAAATCTACGACAAGATGAATCAATTGTGATCGTTGGATTGATTAATATATAACCTGAGATTTAGAAAGAATAACAGCTACCATTTCATATTTGTATCAAGAGATATTTAGTTGAATGTAATACACACAGATCTTCTCACATCTCAAACTCCAAACCTGCATTTTTCACAAAAAGTAAAATTTCACTCAATAAGAACAAAATAATAATTGATATGATGAAAAGAATTAATAGAATCTTAACTCCGAACCTAGCATGACTTTTTAGATATGAAACTTCGCAGAACAAGAGAGATTTACTCCCAGTCAGATGATTTGAGAAAAAAACTTCAACCTACTGTACAGAAAATTCATGAAAGTCTATCTTTCTAGAAGACAATATTACAACTTTATATACAATAATACTTACATTGTATACATTGATTTACACACACCATTGACATCTGGAATGTAAAGGAGGCCAGTTAGAGTGGGTGATGCTTAGTATGATGTAGAGCGGTTGACCTAAATAATTACAATGTGGTAGATAACTCTAACCTACTCCCCTGCTTCATCCTTGATGGTACACTCCAAATTTAAGCTTAATTATTGTTCTTTTTTATTGTCTCCATTAGTTCCATGATATCATTGTGCCTTTGAAGTCTATGGCTTTCCATGTATGCCAAGAATCTCACTAGATGAAAGTACCGCGGACTCCTTTTCTACGAAGTGATCACTTTTATGGCCCATAGTCTCGCATGGCTCTATCGAGTGCAACTGTCAAGACATTTCGAAACATTGTTTTGCATTAGGGAATTTATTCATAAACTTCCAGAAGAATACCCATTAAATCCAGAAGAGAACTAGGAATGAAACTTTTCGCTTCTGCATGTAGCTCAGAAGACCATTCCGCAGGAGGTTGAATTCCAGATGTACCTGCATGGTGTCAAGTCTGAAAATGGAGAGATTGCATGCACTTGGCTGCTGAGGATGAATGTGGCAACAGAAATGAGAGTTTATCTGGTCGAGCGTTTGCTCCTGTATCTAAATTCTCAGGTCGTGAGTGAGTGACTGTCTACGCACAGGCAGTTCTGCATTGCTGGAACAGATCTTATTGGTAATAGGGTTTCGATTCTTAGGACCTTGAAGCTGATAATGGACTGCCTCGTACTTTCGCCCTTCAAGTCTGAGATTCAGCTATTACCATTTCCAGCTACACGTACGATTTCTACTTTTACTGTACTGAAAGATTAGCATTCCTCGCTCTGACCTGTACTGGAGTTTTTTCATGCATTTTGATCGCGTCAGGACCGATGGACATTCTAATTTCACTGACCTGCATTGAACTCGCTCTAAGAGGTTTCTGGAAGTACTCTGCCTTCTGACTGGATGATGTTCCCACTTTTGAACTTTCAATGGTACGCAGGCAACAGCTATATCAACTCAGATCGTAATTCTGGTCAAGTGCACAATGTCGCTGGACGCTACATCCATTTCAGGTCTACACGAACGATCAGATTCCCTAGCTGCTGTGATCAAGACTCTGTTTATAAAAGCGAATGCTCACCAATGACAATTTGCTCTGTTCGTTACATTTTCCAGTATTTTGTGTCGAAAAACAGAAGTGCATATATACGTAGGATGTTATTCTCTAGATCAATTGTGAGAGTTCTCGGATTTAGTTCCACAATCATTCCATCCCCATGTTCGTCATTATACTGCCACCTACTTCTACGAGGACATCATCTACGGGTGAAGTTGGTTCAGTGCATCAGGCATTACTTTGACTGACTTTTCATAGTCCATCGTCTTTTCATCACTCTTTCATGGATTCAGTTCACCATATACTGATCGCTTTGTGCATAGTGCATGACAATGGGAATATTGTCATACACTATGCACGAAATGGTAGGCCATCAAGGAAAGAGTTAGCCTTTTTCGTATTCATGGAAGCAGTAGCATTTTAGGTCACTAGTGACTTCATATCTTGCCTTCACCAGCTCTTATGAAATCACAGTTGGAGAAGAGTAATGGCGTCATGAATAGAAATTCCACAAGTACAACTCTTTCTACCCAAAGAGAGAACGGGCACATACAAGTCATGTTAATGAAAGTGACAACGAAAAAACTGACACACCGATCGTGCATACTCTCAACAGATTCGAGATATTCGAAGTTCATGACAAATAACCACGACGGCAGCCGGACCGATGCCACTCAAAAAGTGCTGGAATGATGCATGAACCCTTTACAAAATTTTCTCATTATAGTCAGCAATCATCGAAGGGAGTTGGAAGTGATATCAGAATTGACAGAAGGTTCAAGAACCTTCCACGAGCAGCCTTACTTGGCGAAAAGCGTTTGCTCGGATTCATGATTCATAGTGACAGCTTCAGGGTCCTTCGTAACAGTTCAGCATGCTCCACGATACAGTTCCAGTGCTCCAGTTGATTGCAATTGTGATCCGGACTTCCCACGCATTCTATAGTTGACTGTCTACGACGGCCGTCATGTGCTTGGGAATTGTTTGGTCCCTTCTCATTGTCAAGATGATTTCATTCAACGCACTGGCCAAGAATTTGAGACTGCCTCCACTTTTCATGAGTATGCTGGAAGTAGATAAAGTTACATCCCGCCAGTAGATCGAGCTTTGCACTCCAAATGATTATCTGCCAGAATCTATCCGTGAGTGATAGATTGAAAGACAGAATTGTCAGAGTCCAAATAACCTGTTGATAGTTCGCAGATTGAGTGATCCTTTCTTCCGCCAATCTTCAAGCTAGAGAGAGACATGCATGCTTTGCATGCTACATCACATTTTGGATCGAGTCATCAACGAAGGAGAATAACATCCCACATGAGTCCTTTTGACAGAAATCTTTATTGTTTGAGTCCCTTACTTTCATTTCACTCAGATGTATGCAATTTGAAGAGTTCTCGCTTGTATTCAGCCGGGAGTACACCCCAATTAGCCGGTTTGAGTACAATAATTATCCAGTCTACCAGAGAATCTCGCTAGTTTCACCATGAGCACTAATAAATCAGAGATGCAGTAGCCCCCAGCTGTTACTTCCTACTTCGCTGAGGCAGGATTTCTGAAGTTTAAAATTGACATTAAGCGTTGAGCATGGATGTTGTTACAATGTACCCTGTTCTAGAAATGGAAGAGAGATCTCTGATGAAACAAATTTTGTTAATTTTTAACTACATCACATCCTGTAATCTAACGTCGCAAAGCTTCGGCACTATATGAAAAATGACCAATACATTTAACCCAAGGGATTGGTTAGCACACTCGGGTGCTTGGGTCAAAAATGTGGTGGTCACAACCAAATTCTTTGTGCAACAAAGAACCCAATGATTAAATGGTATTATAATGAGTCACTTCGACTGAAAGCATATCTTTTAGAAAAACAGGCCTACTAATTTAAATAATATTTGTTAACTGTTTCTGAATGACCTTGTTTGAGCAGGCTCTTGAAGCTTTCCAACGGTGATTGTGTCGCGGATACTGGTCCCAGTACGATTTTCAGCTATTTTGTATTCTGGAAAGAAAAAAAAATTTTACATCGGATGAGTTAAATAGCAACTTAGCATCAAAAAGTTATAACTTTTCACAGTCCATCACTTTTCACTTTTCATCAGTTTCATACTTAGTTCAATGGATGCAATTTTGAAAATAATAATTCTTTATCATTATTAGTATGGGTGGATTCATATATATAGTGTCTATGATGGTGACAAAGGAATTAAGTAAAATGATAATCAAGATTTGAGAGATCATTTGAAAGACAAAGTGAACACAATACTACTCTTATTGTTAGTATTTGGTAATACTTTATATGGACTAATAAGAATTATTGTTGTATTAATATTCTTTATTGTGATACTATGGAATTAAGTCTTGGTTTAGTGTTTGATTTCAGGTTCAATACTTTTTCATTTAAATGTTTTTCTTTTTTATTCACATGTCCCTCACAATCTCGAATTTGCATATTCTCATTGGGCCGTTCTGACTGTAAAGGTTGAATCGTTGTGTTAAGACGATAAGCTTTCCTTTGCATGGAGCAGTATTTTGTGTATTAAGTATTCTTGGTCTCTTTTCTTCCTCATCGTTGTGCTTTGCAAAGTCAATCATGCAATGAATTACTTTAGGTTTTGAGGAGGTCCATGATAATATTTTAAAAATTACTGGAAGATTTTAAAATAAAGAATAAAACAGTAATGTTACGTTGTAAGTTCTGGTATTCATTTCTTTTAAAAACGTTATTCACCCATATGGAGTATTGTAAAATCTTTATATATAAAAATGATACCGTTTTGATATATTCTTTTTAATTCACTCTTTCAGAAGTTTGTAACATCTAATGAACGATTGAAAATGTTAAAGAGATTCAGCTATATATCATAATCAATGAAAATTAGAAAATGCGTATTACCAAAGCACTTAGATAGCATGGTGTAAATTTTCCATATTACCTGCTTGAAATTGTGAGTTTCACTTGTTTTTCCCAATCTCATGGAAGAAAAGTGAAACTTTATAAGCTATCATCATCAATAAAATGAACATTACATGGGTTTTTTTATAATGAAGTGCAATCGCTTCCAACATCTAAATTTATCCGATCTTTTTGAATTATCATGAATCTGATTTGTTTTATGTGTTTAGATGCTCTTTTGTTATCATGCAAATGAAGTAATATATATTCTAGGTAACATATATCTTAGGTGATAGATATTGGTTACCTACAATATATACAAATTCATTTGCATGCTAACAATAGAGCATTTAATTTTAAAATGTAAATATATATATTTACCAACATATATTTACTTATCTACATATACGAATTGAGATATATACTGCATGCTAAAAATAAAACATTCCATGCAAATGTTTATCTACGTAGGTGAGAACGTAACTGTAGACCGGTTGCACGTTGTCGGAAAAGCATTTTGACGTAATTCCTTACATGAGCAATTTCATTTTGACGTAATTCCTTACATGAGCAATTTCTAGTTGACATGTGTCTGTTTACCTCTATACGTGTTAGCTTGAGTGCCCACCGATTGCATGCAATGGAGGAACGATTTCAACGCGAGACCTTACATGCACATATTCTAATTAACATACATCACTTGTCCGTATATTTGATAGGTGCAACTTCCAAGTTGACACTACGGACTTCATATATATGTTAGATGCAACATAAACGATTTCCATGTCAGCACTATTGACTTTGGACGTGAGTGAAGACATGCTCAATTTTTATAATTTACTGATAGTAATTTAATTCTATATATGTGTTCAACTACAATGTAGACTATTTGCATGATAACATTTGTGAATACCACGTAGAGGGCTGCATGCAGATTTTCTAGATAACATATATCGTTTGTTTCTATACATGTAGATTATCGAAAAAAGCACTTGCATGCTAACTTTAGTGTTTTCCACCTGAGTAGTAACATACCAAATTTCTGGTTTACGGGTATATGTACACTAAAGTCGACACGCCAGCTACTGGACAAAAAGAAGATATTTATAATATCTAGTTAATGTATTTCAGTTTGTCTTGATATATTTTAGTTGCAATGTAGATCATTTCCATTTGAAAGTAAGGTTTTTTTAAGTAAATAACTTTGTTTCTTCTCTAGAAAACTTGTATCAGTTAGTTCAATAAGTGTTAGATGCATTGTGCACTATTTGCATGTTATCTGTAAACCATTTTGACGTGAGAGTATACATGCAAAATAAATCAATATATATTAGTTAAAGAATAATATTTTTATTTAATAATGGAATATTATTTTGCATGACAATAAATTAAATATGATACATCAAATGCTCTATTGTTCTCATGCAAACAAAATATACTATAATTTGTATATTACATTTAAATCGTATAAATAATTATACACACAATTGTCAGACACTCACACTCAGAGTCTCTCCATCGCGTGAGAATGGTTATACCTCACTTGTTATGCACTCAAATTCTCTGCATTGCAAGTGTATGTGTATGAGATGTATAGATTCACTACAGGTACAATGTTCCTTCCAAGATATATACATATCACGGACTTACGAGTCTACATACTCGTTGCACTCATTATCTTCCGGCCAAATGACATACTCTCTTCGAATAGATTCATTTGTTACGGAACTGCAATTACAGATAATGAGTTTGCATAGAAGAAACGCTATCCTCAACCTTATATCCCGTTCATGACGAAATCTGAATTCTAGTTTGCTGCTCTAGACTCTTCGTGATATACAATGTCCAATTAAAATTTTCATAAAAAAATTCTTTAATCCTGTAAAATACTTGAACCTGCGGGAACACATGACAGAGTCTAGTACAGAAACCAATGAATTGGAGAATTAGAATGGGAAAGGAGGTCAATTAGCTAGTTTGGATACAATCATTCCAAAGGCGAAGTATGGCTCAGAATCCACAGTTCATCGAAATCTGTGAGTTCAGGATGCACCAGCCCTTGAAGCCTTCACTGTGCTACATCCAACCTGCACAGAATTTTAAAAACCGTGAATCAGCTCTCTCTACGCCCTTTGAACACACCACAATGTTCAGGCGGGTTAAGATATGCTCTATGTCCAGCTGTATGTTCAGGAAGGTGCAAGCGAATTCTACGTCTACACGTTGGGCTAGATAATCAAAACGAGACTAAGAAGACTAACTTCAAGGAGGTCAACAGAATTCTCTGTAAGCCCTTACACATCTGCGGAAATTAGGAAAACCTCGACCAGTGAAAAAGTATTAGATGTTGATAGAAATGGGCAATTTTCAGGTTACTGAGTGCCTTCGACACACGCTAGGGTGGTTGAAATCGGTCAGAAGGATTCTGGAGCATCTTGCGCAAGAGTCATTGAACGGTTCCAAGACACTCTTATGATACAAAAAAAGAATCAGGATAAACGAGCATCAGATCAAAGCAAAATAAGTAGTAATTATGGAAACAAGTCTTCGTTTCATCCATCTATCATCGAAAGAATCTGAAGTAGACGCCATAAGGATGAATCCATCAGCTCCTCAATGTTGTCATAATATACTTCCTGGTTGGGATGAAACGTAGAATCTACCTAATTCAGGATTCCCACAGAACGTGAGCTTTCTAGCTGCTGTGAGCTGAACTTGAAGGTTACTGAAGGTTCGGGAATATACAATTGATTTCGGTGTTAACATGAACCTGTCAAGGAACAAAAGCCTACAGACATCCAAATGATATTGGACTGCATTCCAGAAATGCTTTGCCTTCTTCCCACTTACTGGAGCAGATCTGAAACTTAAGAGCAACGAGGTGTGGTCAAGCCTGTAACAATCGCTTGCTTGTCGCCAACCTGCAGCTCACTTATGGTCCTGGGGTGTCTTTCCAGCCTTCAGATTTCCCAAGGGATCTCTCACAATCGATTCTTGACGTAGACTTTTTCCAACAGGACAGATGGTCTAGCACTGGAATCAGATGATATATACCCTCAGACCTAATCGAATGATGTTGGGAGGTGACATTTGCCTTCCGAGTGCGGCATAAAAATAGCTTAAGAAGCAGGGGACCTAAATTTCCCCATCGTTGAGCGGAACGAAGTGGGAAAGGATCAACTGCCAGCATGGTATTGTGCTCGAGAATGTCGACCGTTCAAACATCAGTTGGTCGAGGACATGATACATCATTTGACACATGGATGGAGGCAGGTGAGATTGACAGACCCTTTTCACTGAAGTGGATGCGATGAGAGTGATCGCTCCAGCGTCCAGGGAGGATAGATAAGAAGCATACAGGTCCACGGATGGATGTCTGTATCCATTATGTAGGACGAGTATGTATCTTGGTGGAGAAGAGACGGACCTAAAATATGATGCACTTCACGTCTTCCAGCCTACAAAGTAGATGTGTGCATCATATTCTAGGTCTGTCTTTTCTCCACTAAGAATAATTATGACCGACACTGCAAGGATCGCAGTTCTGATGCTATCATCAAAGAATTCATGTCCGAGTACCCTCAACCAGAAAAGAGCAAGAACTCCTGCATGCTCGATTGAGTCACCCAACAGCTCGGAGGACATTTTCACCAGAGAATCGCGAGAGACTTAAAGGCCTTGGAACAAAACATAAAAACTCTTAGAGTCCAAGTCGCAGTAAGCAATCCAGGTGCTTTCGGCGTTGGAAAGGGACGAACCTGCATTTACATTGAACATGGAAAGACGGCGAGTTGAGTGACAGGCTTCATAAGCGCAAGCTTAGCGGGAAGCAAACTGGTTGGGGGGTGTAGCGAGATCCACGATGATCGGCAACAACCCCTTCGGAATGGAAAAGTCTCACTTTCATCTCCTCTCCTCTCTCTCCTTCCAGGATCAGAATATCCAGAAAATACGACGTTCAGTAGATTGAAAATGACCACAGTGAGCAGCTGGAAGCCATGATCGCGACACAGAGAGAGACAGAAGGAGCAAGAGAAGAAGAGAGAGAGTGAAATCTCTACAACGAGTCCAACGGTGAGCACAATGGCGAAACAGGCTGGAGCGGAACACGGAGCGGTTTCGGCTGGATGGGTCTCTCTCGGTCGAGCTCCACTACGGCCTCAAAAGTGTTCGGCGATCGAGAGGTCGGCATCCGGCGCACTTTCTCTCACTCGAAAATGCCGTGACCCCCAGAAAAAATGAACTCGAGCTTATGGCTACTACTCTGTCAGTCTCGGCGACAGTCCCAACAGTCCCAACGACCCCCCCAACCCACCCATCCATACCTCGTCGGGAGCTCTACCCTCTCTCTCACTCGCGCTCAGTGATGAACGAAGGCTTCGCAGGTTCCACAGGCGAGAGGGCGCATTCGTGTCATGGAGCCTTCCATTCAGCAGTGATAGGCAGAACCGACTGGGCGAAAAGGGGGAGGGGAGGCAGGCTACGAAGTAGGGGGCCTGAGCGGGCGTCAGGCGCATTTGAGTACCGCCTACACGGCGCACCTGCACAATCAGGAGCGCGAAACAGAATCGAATCTCGTTACGGGATTGACTTGCCGAAACCGTACAGAAGGGACTACGGAGGAGGACCGACCGTAAGCACAACGTACAGATATGATTTCTGTGGAGATCGACGCCCACACTTTATGCAAATGATGACGGAAGACGACAAAACGCGCCACGGCCTGCCTCCGGTCACACTCGCCCCACTCCCTCCGTCCGTCCATCCATCCATCTGTGGAAGGGGTCAACGAGCCCAAACCCTAGAGGCAGGGGTTTGCACTGCTCTCCACTGGACGGAGTACCGCGACCTCCGTTTCCTTCCGTCCGCGGAGTAATTTCGAGTCCACGTGTTCGCCCGGGGGGTAGGACAATGTCCGAACCATCGGAAGCTCGGAACCTTTCCCGATTTGACATGGATCACGTGACCCGAGCCCTACTCTGGGTGGTTCGTCACCGATGAAGCGCCATTTCTGTCGACCGCGGATTGCAGTTGGTCTTCGGCCTACCGGAAGGTGACCTTTTCAGACGACTCGATCGTCAACCTCCCGCATCTCGTTACGGAGCATCTCTGACTCGGTTACCCCCACCCCCCCACTTCTTCGGACGATCCGACTGCTGTCACGTGACAGCGGCCGGTAACCGCGTCGACTTTCTCCACTGCAGTCGGCCGGATGAGGTTGACTGCGTAGGAAAGGAACCCCGTAGCCCAAGTCCGGCGCGAGTTAGAGTTAGCCAGATGGGTTAGTGGAAGAGCGAAGAACAAAAGGATAGAGAGGATGGTCCATGTGGATGTCCATACCCAACGGCGACTTGCACCCGGCGCACATGGCCGCCTGCATGGAGGCACGTCACGGCCCCAGCGCGACAGTGTTGCCCTAACCGTTAACCACTCACCGCAATGGCCACAATGGCCGCAATGGCCCCTCCACTTTCGGCTACATGTGGACATTCTTCCGTTTCCAGCACAGCTTTTGCTTCGAGCCTTCGCGCCTGACGTCAGCCGCGGTCTCGGCCGGGGGCACTTAGATCCTTCGCGTCGCCACATTTGGTATTTGGCTCTAGAAGAGTCGAAGCTGTTGTCTGTCGCGCGGCGTTTCTCGCCTGTGGACGGATCCGTTCCTGCAGCAGGAGCATAGGGTCCGGATTTGAAGTCTCTTCGTTGAGCGAGATGATTCGGAGAAATTTCGTGCACTTGAGTACGAAATTCTGCAAGTCAATCGAGGAGATGTCCACATCATTAAAACTGCGTCGTGACAGGAATCCCTTTTTTCAGTACATTTACAAGTGGATTTACTCGATTTGGTTGTCACTTACATGAATTCATTTGCTCGGAAAGACACCTATGTCCTAAGAAACTGCAACGAATCGTCGTTGCAATTTCTCATGAATTGCCATGCCTCGAAAACGAGCATGGCGCGATAAAATCTCGAATTCAGTGAGCTCCGAAAAGTGCGATGAACCGATGTTTACCGCAAGGTGCGGCGTCACATCACACATCACGGAGGCTATTCCATACCAAGAACCTGTGAATGTAATAGTAAGTGTGATGGGGATCGAAGAACTCGCTGCGTTCAGAAGAGTGAGTAATCGAGTAATTCTCCTCGTGTTTCACCCATGACACACGAGGGCCGTGAACCATTCCGTACATCGTGCACTGCTAGTCAGTAGCACCAATGAAATCAAATGCAATGGTCACTGTCCCAAGGATTTTGGAGATATGAGTTCTCTTCTGATTAAGAAAAGCCAAAAACTGGATAAAGGTTCCCGTCGCACGGTGATGTGAAGTGCAAATAGTAACTTGAACAAAGAGAGGTTAAAAACAAAATCCGTTTGAGGTAAAAGTGCAGGATATTCGAAGCACATTGAGAGCCAATGATTCTCTTGAGTCCCGGCAGGCCATTATCAAATTATATCGAACGTAGCTCTGCCACTGTATTAACACACTCGACCAAATCAGCACTAGAAGGAAGAACCTCCGGATTCTGCATCTAAAGCTAAGGCTCACCTTGCTATGGAAACTCCGAAGAAGTTCTTAGTACCCTCTTTTGTAAGTTGAGCGAATTAGTACCTCTCTCGTTCTTGTCAGAAGAAAGTATCCACCTACATCATTTTTTGTAGCTTGATAGATTTTGAACCGGGGATCTGGACATGAGTAAGAGTAGAATTTCAATGGAACGATATTTCTCTGACTATATATATATATATATATATATATGCAAAAGAGCAACAGAAAAGTTCTATGGTTTGATACAGCGATTTCTTTTTGTAAGTTCACCTTCATGAGCCTTGTTATTTGAACAAATTATGAGATCCCAGATAAAAAAAAAATCCTCCAAAATAAAACTGAAAAGAATCTGAAGTAACGAAGTTCGAAACTTATACGGAGAAGATGCTTGGGTTTGCTTACGGTGGTTTTTGGTCGTATTTGGGCCGGCAGCTTCATCTGCTCTGTGTGAAACGGGATAATTACAAGGATCAGTGCAAGGATCAGGTACAGGAGGGTAAAAACGCTTGAAGAATCCCGATCATTTGGACAAAAGGAAGACCTCGATAAGATGGACAGTTTCCTGAGATCGTGTTGTTCGTCAAAGTGGACCCAATCCAGAATCCAGAGTTGAACTCAGGGGACAATGCGAACTTCGAGAAAGCTGTACTGTGCATACTTTCTCAAAGTCTGCACTGTTCCCCGGCGCATACAGTTTGCACCACGTGGAGCCGGTCCCAAAAGTCACGCGACATGGTACAGATTTAACGCGTAACACCACGTAGTGTTGACGCAATCTCAGGTATGACAAACGCCATCATAATGCCTCAACATGAGCGCGTCATAATTTGAAGCCTCCATGCATGTTTCTCGACTTCTCCTGAAGATCAGATCAGCTCGTTGATCTCTTCGCTCTTGCTTTCTTGACTAAGAGTCAAGACACCATCGAATGCGTTTAGGCGACTGCAGAAATCTTGCATCTTTGAGTTGAAGGTATATGTTCCTTCCTGTGCTGCTGTTGAAATTAATCTTAGGTACAGTTGAGTTACCTAAAAGTGTGATACACGATGACCTACGTATCAATGTGATTCAACTTCACCATTTTATGCAGTTAAATTCGATTTACCTTATTATCCAATGAAATAGTATTATTTATGTGGATCAGATCGGTCTTGACACGATTTATCAAATATATTTTTGTTCTTATAATTTCATTGTAAATGAATATACTTCTCTCTATAGCTTTTGCTCTTAAGTAATGCTCAATAAAATATATACATTTTAAAAAAATGCTTCGTAATTGGAGTATTTTGGATCATTTTTTACTTCATGGTTACACTTGTGATGGAACACGTAATCATGTTATGAACTTTCAGAAAGAAAGATGTACCATCAGTTTTCCTCCATCTTTGTTCATTAGATCATTCTTTTGGTGTCAGGCCTCTACGCCCAACTTAATCTACTTTGTCCATTTCGGTTATTCATTTTTCTTCTTATATACTTACTTTCGGATGAAGCTTTCTATGAGTGGTAATGTCGCACTATTTCACTCACATCATGACCATACTTCTGTCGGTGGCAAAAAAAACTTCTTTCTCGTTGCATGTGTTCAGTCATTAGAATATAAGATGACTTCGTTAAAATATTTAGATCGATTAGATTTAAGTATTGCATCTTTCTCTTGTTCAAAGTGTATACACACCACAGCCAGACAAATGGGAGAGTGAGACAAACATTAAGATGGGATTGGGTGATTATCTACATAAAAAAGGATTAAGAGGGGAGGGAAAGTCCATGTTCAGTACAGTGATAATAAAATATTTTAAAGTAAAATTATCACAAACATGTCAATGTATAGCATATTTGGAAAATCTGATGAAGTTATATCTGTGACCTAGAGACAAAGTACAAGGGTTCCATCCAAAGGATATTCAAAATACTCACAATGGTGGAAGATCGTTGATGTCCTTAAGCAATGTTA